CCACTGCCAGAGCGCCCGTGGCTGCCCAGCCTGGCTGCCCTCCGCGTGCATCTGCAGGTGCAGACAGGACGGGCAGCAGGAAAGGGGCTGTCACTGAAGCCTCGGCCCACGGGGCAGCCCTGGTCCAGCCCTGCCGGGGGCTAGCGCCATTCTCTGCTTCTCGCCTACAAACGCATCTAACTCTCCCGGGGCTCCTGCGAGGCAGGGCCCCAGCACGAGAGGAGCAGGTAACCCTAAGGGCAATGGCTACGGGGTCCCAATCCCCTTGCCAGGCCCCGGCCGAAGGCCTGGCGTAAGAAGCAGGACGGGCAAAGGCACAGACCTCTAAGTTCTGGAACAGCCCAGGTCGGGCCTGGTCCTCAGCTCCCCCAGGCACAGGCTGAGAGGTGGGGACGGGGGAGGAAGCCACACTGTGCGCAGGTCAGAGCAAGGCCCCGGGGCACCCACGGCCACCTCACAGCCCCCGACTCGGCCCCTCTGTGCTTGGGGCAGGGCAGACAGCACCATCCAGCAGCCCAGGGGGACAGAACCCAGGGCATCCACCCACCACCGGACAGGGGACACAGCTGGGACGTACGAGTGGCCGGTGGCAGGGATGAAGTAGAGGCAGCAGTGGACGCGCGTGTCCGGGATGCGCTTCTTCCGGTTGATGTTGACCTCCTCCTGCAGGTACTTCTCGTACTGGTCGTTGATGAACTTCATGATGGGCTGCCAGCTGCAGGGGGTGGGCCGGGTCAGCCTGAGCACGGGACCCTCCCGCCCAGCCCCCAGCGGGTCCCACGCACGACCTGGGAGGGCTGGATTTCTGAGCGGAGACGCCACAGCCTCATCTTAGAGCTCCAGAACCGGCCTCCCCATGCTGACCTTTCACCTCCGGGGTGAGTGAGGGAGGAGCAAGGGTAACTGCTTTGGTCTAGAATTTTCCGACCCCCAACACGTGGCTTCAGCAGCATATCAGGCCCAAGGAGACAGGCCCCTGCACCCCCCAGGGCCGGGGATCCTCCATGGCGCTGACTCTGGGTGTGACCAAGGAGCTGAAGCCCCCCGTAGTGCTCCTCCTCCTGGAGGAGGGGGCCCCCAGCCTGCGGCCCCGGAGCCTACCAGTTCTCGTTGTTGATGTGGTCCCCGAAGCCTGGCGTGTCGATCACTGTCAGTTTCATCCGGACGCCCTTCTCCTCGATGTCTGCGGAACCACAGCACCCGAGTCAGGGGGCCGAGGACCCGCCCAGACAGTCCGAGCCCGACAGACCTGGGGCGTCCCCAGGAGGGCTGCAGTGACCGCCCAGGAGACGCCAGAGAGATGGCCTCCTGCGACCAACTCCCGTGGAGGCTGGCGAGGCTATCCTGGTGCCTGCCCTGGTGCCCGCCTGCAACTTTTGGTGGAAACTCAAGTGTCTGTGGGAGCTCAGTGTGACGGGCGCACGGGAGCCCAGAGCACCCTGATGCCTCACTCTGGCGGGTCCGTCCAGAGTTTCAATGTTCCGGGGGGGCGGGGCACAGTGAGTCCCCCGCTAGGGGACCTGGGCTGCCTGACTCGGGCACCCTCACACCCATGGTCCAGGAAGGAAGGGGCGTCTCTGCACCCCTGCCACCCCCCGGCCGCTGACCGTGCGTGATGGACTTGATTTCAATGGTCTTGGGGATGCGCTCCTCCGAGGTGGGCTGCACCGACTTCCGGCTGATCTTGGATTTGAAGAGGGTGTTGATTAAGGTGGATTTCCCCAAGCCGCTCTGCCCTGGGGAGGCAACCAGGGGCGGTCGGTGGGCTCTGCAGAGACGGCCAGCAGGGCCTGCACACGTTCCCCTCCACCCAACTCAGCCATGCCCGGGCGAATATCCCACAGTGCCCTGCCAGGCAGGTGGTGCCTGGGGCTTCGCCCTCCAAACCCACACTGCCAGGCTCCAGTGCCAGGCCAACCGCGGCCAAGAGTCCCCTCCTGAGAGGGGACTGACCGGGCACCCTTGGGCCTGGGAGGAGTCAGACGCCCTCGTGCCCCTGAGTTTTCCGGGAAGGTCTCCAGGTGGCTCAGATTTAGGACAGGATGGAGGCAGGGCTCAGAGAGGACCCCGGGGCTGCCCGGGACACTCCAGGTGGCTGAATCCCGTCACTTCATGGGGGGGGGGGGGGTTGAGAACTTAAACTCGGGAACAGCCTCAGGTGTTCAAACTGCTCCTCCCTGACCAGCTGTGGTCTCGGGCAAGTCACCTGACCTCACTGTGCCTCAGTTTCCTCATCTGTAACATGGGATAAACCCTCTGCCCCTGCAGAGCTGGTGTGAGCATCAGGGGGGCTCCTCCGTGTCACATGGAGTCTGCTGTCACCACTGGCTACCCAGTGCTGGCCTGCAGAGCAGCCCACGGAGGGACAGTCACGGTGTGTGGGGGGCAAGGAGTCGACACACGACAGAGAGTACGAGGACGTGGCAGTCACGCAACCCACACACAACCCCAGGCTCAGGCTGTGCCTGCAGCGAACTTAAAAACCCCGAAATTACACTGATGTTCTGACTTTGATGACACCTTTGAAGGAAAAGTGTGGGCTCCCAGGAGGACAGTGGCTGGTTCCGCCACCTGAGGACGGGCTCTCCTCCCACGCCCGTGGCCGCCGGGCTCGTGTCCCGGCCAACCTCAGGCCAGGAGCTCTGTTAAATGTTCCAGCCACACTCCTTAGATCTGGGTGATGCCAACTGGGATATTTTAAGCTTTAACCCTTATTATTATTACTTTTATTATCATCTCCACCTCCACCTCCACCATCGCTGCTACTGCTGCAAGTTCTCGAGCACCCACGACACGTCAGGGACCCGCTGGGGCGTGCACACGCTCTGTCGCTTTACAGGATTATCCGCTTTTACAGACGAGGAACGAGGTGCACAGAGAAGCCCAGGAGACAGACAAGCCTCGCACGGCTGAGTCAGCACACAGCTGCGATTCTACCTGGAGTCTGTGGACCCCCAAACAGGCGTCCTTCTGCCTGGCCGCAGCTCTGCAGGTGGGGTGCTGCTGGTCAGGAGGGAGGAGGAGCCAGAGCAGACACCGACGCCCGCTTCGGGGCGGCACCCCCAGCGTGTGGCTCTCTCGGCTGCTGTCAAGAGCCCCACAGTTTTCCTAGATGGTCTTGTTCCTCAGGGGCAAAGACCTTGAGTGGGAACTGGAGCCATCACTGTTCTCAGGTGCGAAAGGGCAAAGAGGCCCAGACAGGTGGAGCGGCCTCCCAGGCACCCTTCCTGGAGGTGAGTTACAGTGGGAGATGGCAGGAGGCAGCAGGGGCTCCCTCTCCTCCTGGCCAAAGCTCCAGAGGAAGCCTGTGCCATGCTAGGGCCCAGAGGTCCCCTGGGCCTTCCCACCCTGTCTGGCCCACACAGGGGAGTCACAGCCTGGCCACTGCCTATGCCCTCCCACAAAGCAAGCCTCCAGCTTCCAGACGACCAGAGCACGGTGGGCTATGAGCAGTGAGGCCGGTCAATGACTCCCAGTCCGTGAGGCCGCACGAAGCAGCTAGAGGACACCAAGACCCCCTAGGAGCTGCAGCCCAGGTCGGTGCAGAGGAGGAAAGAAAGCCTCTAGCCAGGCAGGTTCGGGTTTGCACCTGCTAGCTGGGCGTGAAGGACGTGCACAGCCGGCAGAGGTTGGGGAAAGAGGCCTGGCTCACGAGCTGCCCAGACACCCGGCAGGAGAGGGCGGCCAGGCTCACCTTTGCTGAGGGTTTGAGCTGCGTGGAGCCCGTCCCCAGACCCCCCCTAGAGGAGTAGGCAGTACACAGTCTGGGGAGTCAAAACAGTGCCTCTGCTTCCCTCTGCCCACAAACCAAGGGACCTCGTCGATCTGGAAAACGGGGTGCTCCTCCCACGGTTACTGTGAGGGCTGAATGGGACCTGGGGGGCTTCAGAAAGAAGAGGCGGCCCCTGCAAACCCCAGCCCGGCCCCCTCGCCCTGTCTGGTTCCGAATGATCACAGACCACCCCAGTTCTCCAGGGCCACGGAGGGGGTGGGCGTTGAAGCCACACGGCCCCTCTTCCTGGATGTCCAGCCAGGCCTGCTGGGTGGTGGGGGAGCCAGGCTGGAGCCAGAGCTGAGAGAAGCTTCCACAGAAACTCCAAGCACAAGGCGATGTCACTGGTCACAGAGCTGCACTTACGGGGGACCTGCCTGAGCTTAGACTAGTTATCTCAGGGGCTCCTAATGTGAGGCGCAGAGGCCCCACAAGGAGCTTGTGGCGGCCGTGGACCCCCTCCTGGGCACGCACCGTGGCACTGGCAACGTGTCGCTGAGCCAGGGTTGTGGCCCATTCTACAGAAGGGAAGCCTGAGCCCAGGAGCTGTGCCGAGGCTGGTTCCCGAGCGGGTTCGGGGACGGGGACTCACCAACCACCATGATGTTGAACTCGAAGCCCTGCTTCATGGCCTTCCTGCGCATCTGCTCCAGGATGGAGTCGATCCCCACGTAGCCGAAGTCCACGGGGGCCTTCTCGTTCCGTGGCGCGGGCGCCTGCTTGTGCCCGGCGTCTCTGGGGGTGTCGGCCATGTCGCCAGCGTAGCCGGGAGCTGCCTCAGTGGCTGAAGAAGGAAGAGCAGAGGAGTCAGGGTTGATGGGCTTCGCCAGGCGTCTATCACGCACCGAGGCCGCCAGGCGGCTCCATCACGCGGTTCCCAGCTGCGCTTTTTAATCTCCTCTCTGCCAGCTGTGCCAACTTGGGCCCTCCCTGGCTCCCGGGCAGGGCTGACCCCCGGAACCCTCCTCTTCCTTTATCTGAAGAGTGTGGCCAGCGCTCCTTGTCCCAGCCCCCACACTGCCCTGGCCACCAGGCGGCTCTCCTCCTTCACCTGGCTCAGGTAAGCCGCAACACCTGCCGCAGGACATACGGGAGGGACAGTCTCATATCTGCCTTCTGATGAAAGGGGGAAGGAACCAGCACCTGTCCCCTCCTACCACGTCCCAATCGGGCTGTGTGTTCAATTCCATGTAACCCGCCAAGTCCTGGGGGCAGGCGGGAGTGCTCGGGTGGAAGGCGGGGTGCCTGGACACAGAGCTCTCCCTGGGGGATGCCTCTGCCCTTCCCCTTGTACTGACCGCCCGGCACCCGAGCGCCGCACACCTGCGGGTAAGGACCAGGTTTTGCTTTCAGGTCTGCGCACGGTAGATGGGGCTGAACTTCTCAAAATAACTCAAGCTTCTTCCGTCTACAGGTCAGAAGCAAGAGTCCTCCTCCTTCCGCCTTCAGAAGTCCGCCTGCTGGCCGGAGGCCTGGGGCCGGGGCAGGACCCCCAGGAAGTACCCACAGGAGACCCAAGGGGCTCCAGCCAGCGGGTGTTCAAGGCATCTAGGAGGGTGCTCAGTCCCACCAAGATCTGGCTGGAGAGCACACACGCCCCACTCAGCTCCCCACGGTGGGGCCGAGCCGGCTGCTCCTCGGGCCCCTTCCCTGCTGCAGTGGCCCAGCCTCTCCCCACACCCCTGCCTGCCAAGGGGGACTTTCTGCTCAGCCTGCCTCCTGGGAGGGCCAGGACCTCGAGCTCTCTCTTCCCTTCCCTGAGCACCCCGAGTTCAAAGGGAGGGACCACACAGCGTGCTGACACTGCCTCCTCGCCCAGGGCCCTCCCGCCAACCCTCGGGGAGGGGGTGGCTGGTCCCTGAGATGGTCCTCCTCCCACAGGGCACCCACCGGGCGTCCACAGGGGAGCAGAGCCCCATGTCTGCCAGGGACCAGGGACCAGGGACGTGGGCCCTGGAGGCGGAGGGTGGGCGCAGCCTTCCAAGCTTGCCCTGCCTGGCCACCCACTCCAGGCTCCGGTCCAACCGCCCTGCCACTTCCTGGGGAAATCCAGCCCCAGGACGCGCCTGTGTGGCCGAGCCCACTCGGCTGAGCCCGTGTCCCCAGCTGGCGCAAGCCACGGTCCTGTCCCTCTTCGTTCTGCTCTACTAGAGCGGTGGGGTCGGGGGGAGCATGCTGCCCCCTCCTCAAGCCCCGGCAGGGCAGGAGGCAGGAGAGGAGGAGGCTGAGCCTGCAAGTCAGAAGGGGCTGGGGGGCCAGTTTATCTTCACAAGTGGCCATTCCTGAATCGGTCACTTCACCCCGTCCTCTTAGCCTCTCCAGGGCACCATAATTCCTCCTTCATAAAGTTGGGGGAACAGTGAGACAACATAACATATATAAAAACGCCAGCAATTGCCAGGGGGGCCCACAAATCTTCATTCCTTGAGGCCAGGGGCCCGGGCCAGGAAGAGGCAGCCCTGGAAGGCTCCGGGCATCTGCTTCTCCCTCTTCAGAAATATTCTCCCCTGAGCTTCCAGCATCTTTAAATAAACAAAGACACAGCGCTGCATCTGGCCCCAGAACATGTGGCTTTGGGGCCGCTTCCTGGAGCCAGACGTGGGGCCTTGCCTTGTGGGGCGGCAGTTCAGCCCGCCCCACGTGACCGAAAATTGCTTCCATCTGTGGCGGGTCTGGGCGCCTTTCTGCCAGGACGGGCCGCCCCCTCCTCGGCCCCCACCTCCAGCCTCCCGGGCAGAAGGCGCAGCTCCTGAACTCTCCCTCACCCCCCAGCAGGCCCCGCAGCCCAGAGAGGGAGGGTCGCCCGGGCTCCAGCTGGGCCCCTCTGCAGGCACCAACATTCACTGCAGAAACTCAAACCAAACCAAACATCCTGCGCACCAGGGGCCCTGCTTGAGAAATAATAATGAGAACAGCGCCGTCCTCCCGCGATGGAGGGAAGCCGCTGGCCTTCCACACAGGTGACAGCCCGTTCCTGCAGCCCTCCTTGGGGAGGTGCGGACAGCCTGTCCCCAGGCTAGGAGGAGGCTGAGCCTGCAAGTCAGAAAGGGCTGGGGGGCCAGTTTATCTCCTACCCCTAGCTAGGAGGCTTTGGGGTCTGCCTTCAGGATCCCCACGTGGGAAGAGCAGAGACCCCGTGCTCACAGACACGAGCTGAGCCCTTGCTTTCCACGGAAAGCACCCCCTCCCCGGGCCTGGCCCCAGGACCTCAGGGTGCTCAGGCAGCCGGAGGAGAGGTGGCCAGGACCACCCGTGACGATGGCCTGCACCATCCAGCATGGTAACCAGTGGCACACGCGACTTTTCCTTTTAATTGTCACAAAATTTACCATCTTAACTATTTTCAAGTGCACAGTTTAGTTTTAAGCATATTCAAATTGTTGTGCAACCAGCTCCAGAACTTCATCTCACAAAACTGAATCTGTCGCCATTAAACAGCTCCCCACCCATCCTCCCCCAGCCCCTGGAAACCACCGTTCTACTTTCTGTGAATTCGACTATTCCCGCGACCTCACGTAAGCGGGGTCACACAGCATGTACCTTGCATGACTGTCTTCTTCACTCAGCATAACGTCCTTAAGCTTCACCCGTGGTGTAGCACGTGTTAGAATTTCCTTCTGTTAAAGGCTGAATGACATTCCCTGGTGGGATGGACCACACTTCATGGGTCTGTTCACTTGTCCGTGGACGCCTGGGCTGTTGCCACCTGTTGGCCATCGTGAATGACGCTCCTATAAACGTGGGGCACAGATGTCTCTGAGCCCCTGCCTTCGATTCTTTTGCATTTCTACCCAGCGGCAGAGTCGCAGGATCATATGGTAGTTCTGTTTTTAGTTTTTTGAGGAGCTGCCACAGTGTGTTTACACGTGACCTCTGAGCACTTGAAACTGAGCTGGTCCAACCGAGGAACTGAATTTTTATTTAATTTTAATTAATTTAAATTTAAATAGCTACATGTAGCTAATGGCAACTCCACTGGACAGTACAGAATTCTAGTCCAACCTACTCTCTACAAACGGTTTAAGCTGAGCCCACAGAGTGGTTTTTCTTTTTTCCGAAATGTTGGAAGTGGCTAGGCCACCTTTGACCTCCATTGAATTTATCGACCCTGAAACTTCGCAGCCACTCCTGTGATACGTGATTAACACGCGTGTCCCCCCTCGCAGACCGTGAGCTCCAGTGAGGACGTCAGTTGACCTGTGTGGGTCACCCCACTGCATCTCCAGAGCTTTCCACGTGGAGGGGACACTCGGTGAACACGCGTGGAACGAATGGCTTTGTGACAGCACGCTGTGGTTTGCCACTGCCGATCCAGCCCACGCCGGCTGCAGGAAGCGAAGGCTCTTGGGAGATATTTCCACAGTGAGCTGGAGGTAGGAGCTGGACCTCCCTGCCCCGAGGAGGAGTCCGGAGTCTGGTACCAGGAAGGCAGTGGGTGGGTTCTGCTGTCCCCGGCTCACCCATGGCATGGCCATGAGGATAGTCAGACCTGCTCCAAAGCTGCCCCCAGGGACATTGCCGGGCTGGGAACTCATTCTCACTCCCATGGCCCTGTTGCCTAGATTTCTCTTCTGCACCCAAACTTCATCAAATACTATTAATGAGAAAAGAAGGCTCTTAGCAGCAAAATGAAAGCTGCATGTTTCGATCCAAAGTGACTCACTACACTCTTGGCAGGGAGTAGAGCAAGAAGGAAACCTATTTTTTAAAGTGGCTACTTGAGCTCAGAGAAGTTAAGTAGCTTAACCAAGACCACACAGCATTGCTTGCCTCTTTTTCACTGATCCTGGCTGCCTGGAATTCTGCTTGGGAAAGACCCGGGGGACAGTTTCCCCCTCCCTAGATCGCAGAGCAAACCGCCAGGCCCCTGCCTTCCCAGAGTCACACTCTGAGGAGGGAGCGCCAGGTTTGCTCTAGGGGGTTGGCCGCAGCCCCTGGGGCAGCCGCACCCTGTTCCACGGAGTCGCCCACCCTCCTCTCCAGAGTCCCAGGTCGAGGTGACATCACTGCCACCAATGCTGCCACCCTCCTCCATAGAAGGACAGCCCGAGTGACCACCTTACACGCTGCTTTACGCCTTCCCTCTAGCCTAATTATTTTCTTTATTGTGGTGAAATAGAAATAACTTAAAATTTTGGCCATTTTAACCATGTCGAAGTGTTCCATTTAGCGTCAGGAAGCACACTCACGACGGTGTGCCGTGACCACCGCTATCTCTGTGCGGAACCGTTCCGCCACCCTGACCAGAAACCGCACCCATTAGACACCGACTCCCACCCTCCCTCCCGGTGCTCACATTCGACTTTCACTCTCTGTGAACTTGCTTCTTCGGGGACCTCGCGTAAGTGGAATCCTGCAGTGTTTGTCCTTCGTGACTTATTTCACAGAGCACAGTGTCTGCGAGGTGCATTCATGCTGTAGCATGTGCTAGGATCGCCTTCCTTTGGAAGGCCGTTCACCCGCCCGTCCATTCATCGGTGGACACGGGGGTGGTTTCCACCCTTCGGCCACTGTGAGCGATGCTGCCGTGAACGTGGTGCGCACGTGTCTGAGTCCCTGCCGCCAGTGCTTGGTCACATCCAGCCTGGTCATTACCACCGCCCTGGTTGAGTCTCAGAAGGTTCTGGTTTGGACAGTGACGGACAAGTCACGCAAGAGTCAAAGCAGAGCTTCCCTCTTGGCTCCGTGGCTGAGAGTCAGGGGCCCTCGGCTACGGTCCTGGCTCCACGTGACCCTTTGACAACTCCCTTCGATCTGCTCCGCCTGGACTGCCTGCCTGGGAAA